TTGTCTACATTAAAACGAAAATTTCTTTTAATAGCGTAGTTGAGGCACCAATTTTTTTATGTTAATTATTGTTTATGATTCAGTATTCCTCAAAACATTGAAGTACGACAGAAATGGCTTATAATGCTAAAGAGAGAAGACTGGGTTCCCAAAAAGTTTTCAAAAATATGCAGCAAACACTTTGAGGAAAAATGATTTTCCGTTAGAGGCATGGCTAGAGTAAAGCTACGTTCTGGTTCTGTACCCACATTATTCATGTCTTACAATTAATTGATTTTTGTTTTTTTTTATTGTTCCAAAATACGATACTCATATAGGATCACTTGTGTGTCCATCTGTCCGTCTGTCACAGTCAATTTACTCCAAACCTACTGGGCTGATTATTTTGAAATTTGGTACACATATGCCTTTGTGTGACCAAAACGTGTAACGTAAATAAATTAATTCTGAATTTGAAGTCACTATTGGGAGGGAAAGTTCTCAAGTATATATTTTTTGTAATTTTGAAATATAAATATTTTTAAGTTGTTTAAGAAAATAGACTAAAATTGATCATTCTCCCCTTTATCTTCGAAACTACTGAGCCTAAAGTTTTGAAAAAAATACAGAAATTGTCTTTAAATCTCTCATTTTAGTGCGAATAAACCTATATTTGCTGTTGGAATCTATTGGAGAACATATTCTTCAACTACAATATTGAGTTTGTACGGAAACCTCTCCGCGCGAGTTCAACTCGCACTTGGCCGGTTTTTTGGTTCTATTACTTATCTGCAAATTCACTGCTGTGATGCACTTCTATGTCATCATATCATGCAATAATTATAATAGTTATATTTGTTTGTAGGTTGCGGTCGTCAGCTTGGTTCGTGGAGACCATACTATCGCACCGTAACTGATCATGGGTCATATCACCGTTTTGTAGAGCCATAGTGTTATATTGGGTGAAAGTCCCCATTGTTTACCTACCATCTTATGGCACTGCCAGAAGGTGATAGTAGCTTTATTAATTTTGTATTGAACCATTAATTAATTAGTTGATAAACGTCTCGGCGTTTTGCGATAAGACATTTGGAAGTGCTGCATACGCACTGAGGAAACTGCGTCCTCTTGTCTCCAATGTGGTAATGAGGCAGACGTATTATGCGTATTTTCATTCGTTGATGTCTTATGGCATCACACTGTGGGGTAATTCAACTGAGTCGATTAGGGTATTTATTCTTCAAAAACGTGCACTAAGAACAATAGTAGGCATAAAAAAGGGTCAGACCTGCAGAAACCTTTTTAAGAAATACAATATAATGACCATGTACTCACAATATATTTATGATATAATAGTTTATGCGCGTCAAAACTTGGCTACTTATGAGCGACGTACGGGCGGAGGCCGAGCGTTACGAAACACGGGAACACTAAAATCCGTTGCCCACCGTACCGAACTTGCAACTAGAAATCCGCGGGTAATAGGTCCCCGATTCTACGAACATCTACCCACAGACCTGAAAAGTGTTAGAAACGATGCAACGTTTTGTACCCGACTAAAAAACCTTTTATTGGATATTGAATTGTACAGTGTCGATGAGTTTCTTTTGAAACAATTTTAATTTTATTTTATTCGACAAGCAGTAGTTATACTACTTTATTTTATATTCATTATTATTATTATAATTTTATTACTGACGATCATAGTTATCCCTTGACATTGTATTTCCAATTGTAATATTGTGACATTGATAACATGAAATAAACGATTCTATTCTATTCTATTCTATTCTATTCTATTCATTTTGAAGAATACGACATGAAAATGAATACGAAGTGAAATGCCGGTGTAATATTGTTAATCGATATTAAAGTAAAATCATTGGATGGCGCAACACTGTTTATCTTGCACACATGCACATTATACACACACAGATGTATTTTTGTTTTGGTCTCGTCTCCAATACTTCAGGGCCAATCTATGGATATACTAAATCTATGGTTGATACAATCAATAAAGTAGCAAGCAATATACCTACTGCTAACCAGTAAAAATCTTAGAGGATGGAAAAAAATAAAAAAACAAAATCTGAGATTTAAAAAAATATAAAACCTTCCTAATTTATGATACATTATGATGGTTGGGTTTTTTTAACCGACTTCAAAAAAAGGAGGAGTTTCTCAATTCGCCTGTATGTTTTTTTGTATGTATTTTACGCGATAACTCCGCCATTTGTGCACCGATTTTGATGATTCTTTTTTTTTTTGTTGGAAAGAAGGTACCTCAGATGAGGGCCCATTTAAATTTCAAGAAAATATTCCACCTATAAGGGTGGCAAACTAGGGGACGAATGACTTTTGAGGTCGGTTTTTTTAACCGGAGGTTAGGTTATTAAATCTCAGTCAGGCACAAATTTCACTATTCAGTTAAATTTGCTCGCAACTCTGTTACGCAGCTCTGAAAAGCAGTTTCTATTACCTTTATATAATAGAAACTGCGTGACTTGATATAGTTAGTTATACCAGCGTGATCGTGATCGAGTTTTTGACTAGCCAGATAAAAAAATCTCCCTTTATTTGGTTCTAGTCGCAAAAAAACTAGATTTAGTCGGTCCGTAGAACAAATGAAGACTAAAGCGGAGTTTGGCGCTCTGTATACGATTTTAGCGCCTTACAAGTGCGGACACTTTTTAGCGCGGACCCGACGTCCATATAATTGTAAGTCAATGGTCCGCCGTTCAAAAGTTATAAGGGGGTTTTACTTGAAATGTACCCTAGAACTTAGAGGATGGAAAAAATAAAGGAAGTCTAATAAAGCCTTATAATGAGTTATCATTATAGGATGGAAAAGTCATCTTACGATAAGAGTCGGATTTTCCTATGGAACGGAAATACAGTTTTAGCTACTTGTACACTTCCTGTTTTAGCGACATGTACGCGTGCCTTATTCCAGCGTGACCATGGTCGAGTTTTTGAAATTTGACTAACCAGATAAAAGTCGGTATTTAGTCAGTTCTAGTCGCAAAAAACTAGATTTAGTCGGTCCGCCGTTCAAAAGCTATAATGGTGTTTTACTGCCCACCCTGGAATAAGCTGATTTCAGCGCTTTTAGTTTGACGCTTAAAAAGTCGTTTAGAAAAACGTTTAAGCACATAGACTTTATGTTTAAAAAAGCTTGCAACGTTATGTTGAATTAATTTGTTTAGAAAACATGGATGACGCTACTTGAAACTTATGCACGTTGTAAAAAATGAAATTGTTGAGCACCTATAGAACTGACCATTGATCAATGCTTACGTTTAAAATGTAACGGGTGCTTGTGCGCTTATTTTAAAAAGCAGACTTTTAAGTGCTTTTCGTTTAAACGCCCACTTCTAGCGGCTCATAAGTGAATTTCACTTACATAAAGGGCACGCGAAGTACGTACACTTGCGGCCAGCCCCATGCAACTTGTATTTAGTTTGTGCTTGCGGCGTCTATCTAGATATGTATGTCTGTGATTCCGTATCTTTCCGGGTTTTATTCCATAGACAACAGTAATAAACTGGCATAGAGGTGATCATTATTACAAGAACAGATAATGTAATACATTTTTCTTACGTAATGTTTAACTCACATTATCGAACAAATGCCTGAACTGCTGTTGTGGTATTGCTATTCTGCCGTTGCAATTGCGTGATTGGAAGATGTACATTGCATGCTATAATTTGCGTTTCTTACGCGTATAATCTTTCAGTGTACAATATAAAGTTCTTTTTCTCATTTTACATTTTATTGTATCTATTGTCTTACTGTTATTAAGTTACATGTTTAAAATTACTTTTTTGTGCTTTATACAATGCGACTAATGTCGATTTTAATATTGAATATCTGGCAGTTAATATCAATCAATTTAAATAAAACTGGTGCCGAAAACAGCAATTTGTTTTGGTTTATTGGTTAATGGCTACCATAGCTGTATAACAGTAGCAGATTTGATTTCATTGCGTGATCGAGGATATCGCGTCCACTATCCGCGAGTGAATCGAAAATAACAGATTCCACGACAGCGTAGCCGTGGTCTTGCAAGGGCCCCTGAATCTTGAAAATTACATTTCGTCACCTGAAAAGTTACATTTTTGTTTGCAAAATTTACATTTTACTTGTGTAACCCACCACAACTTTAACACGCCAATAGTTCCATCGCGGCACAACTCTAAAACGCGCTATCGTTTTGTTAACTCCAATAGTATAAGTCATCTCATACGTTTTGTATTGTTGATGCTTACCATAAATGCTTTCTACTAATATAGCAATTGTATGGCACTGAACGTCACTCAAGTTAATGAGACGTTCCGGTCCTTACTTTGCTATCATACTTAAGGTTCGGCACTTAACTTGCGCTTTCACACACGCGAGACGCATTGTTGGGTCCCTGGCCGCATAGCTTTTTGTTTTGTCTTGTATCTAAATACACACTTTGCGCACTTTCCGTCTGCGTCTCACTTTTCTACCCACCCCCTCTGCTCACCAGCGCTACACATGTTCTTTTTTTAATTGAAAATTCTAACTGTAAAATATTATATTATACACACTTTGATCCGTAAAATAAAAAAGTAAATACCCACTAGAAAAATCAGGCTATTATTGATTGATTTCACATTGTTTGCACTTTAACTAAATTACTTTTTGTCTAATTTGAGTACGTTCGTAAGCCAATTTTAATTTACAATAACATTTATGGTAGCATTCCCTCAAAAGTTGCTAAAATTACTAATATAACAAAAAATTCTTACGCATTACGCGAGAAGATCAAAAGTTATTAAAAATGTAACCATCTGGCAACACTACTCAATGTTTATTCGATAACATTGTATGCAAAACTTCAAAACTGCGTGGAATAACAGGTTTTCTGAAAATAACAGCTTACAATAGCAGTTATTGAAAAATCGCCAGGAAATTTATTATTGATAAACAGCCGTTTTTGCCATGTCTATTGCTGTAGTACATACCTATCTATTTTAGTCCCTAGATGGGAGTAGAGTAGACTATTTTATTTAGTCTGTTTTTGACAGTCGAGGAAGTTATAAGTGTGTATAGATCGGTAGTGCAAAATTATTTTGAAAAAATGCCGAAGAAGCTAAAAGTTGTAGTTAAATCTCTGTATTCTCACGAGATCCGAAAGGACGTGAGCTTGAAAGACCTGAAATCTCTTAAACTGGAAGAAGCATGGCCTTTCATCCGAGATGAAATAGAAATCGAGATAGGTAGCAGCCAGTTAGTTTGCATCCCTCACATAACAGAAGCAGAGTTGTACAAAGTTACGTCTCTTTTCGTTCAAAACGAAAAGCAGAAGGACGGTAAAATGTTCACTCCCTTGGGTGAATTACGAAAGAATATTATTAAGGAAAAATCTAACCCCGCTATTGTGAAATGGCTGGAGGAGAGTAATTTTATAGACCCGGATTTTAAGTTTCCTCATGAAAGCGTCAAGGTAAATATTTCTTTCAATTGTTGCTGATTATATTTTGTGTTGTCAAAAATGTTGCACCCTGGATTCATGTTGGATGTCGTCGCCATGGAACTAATGACCTTGACCTGTCCCTTAAAAAGGCAGAAAGGTGGCTGAACGGGATTCTTTTATTTTAAACGAACATATAAAATCGTTAAAATATTCATTGGCAATGGTATGTTGCGTAGCTCCGGTATAAGCAACAAGGTACCTTGTAAATGCATTTTGTCAGCTATGATCTCTTTCTTATTTAATATAACTTTCTTATCACTAACTTCTGCCATATTAAAGTACCCTGTCGTCGGGGATAGTGCAATTCCGTGTAACTATATTGAAACTATATTTATACGGCATTTCCGTGAAATTATAACATTGGAGAATTCCGCGTATCTGACACATGTAGCCAATTTGAGTTTTGCATGCCAGTGCATGTAGATAAATGAATGGGACACGCCTTTTTAACGCCAGTTGCTATGGACTAACAGAAGACCAGAAATCGGTGAATAACATTTCCACGTATCTGTCGTCAGGTGCAGAGATGGGCAGTGGATTAAAACCCAATCTGTCCGCCTGGGTTTTAACCACGGTTTTATCGAATGCGCCCGGTTTTAACCCATTTCTGCCCAAAATTATGTGGAAACCATAATATGCTGTAAATAACAATTAATTAATTTCTGTATTTTTTATTAACACAATGTAAAGTAGTTTCTATTTAATTTTCGAGTTCTAGTAATAAATAATAATACTGTCTTAATTACACTACAATTGGTAATTGTTTTATTAGGATTTAATTTACACATTAAAAATAAAATTTAACATTAAAAAAATCCGCAATATCAAACACTGTACGTAAGTACTGTATGTAAGTAGTTTTTTCTTTATTTATTTAGGGGCTTTGTTCAACATGTCAGCCCCATTACAAAAACAATACCTCAAGAAAATACTTGAGAAGTTGGGTAGTCTGCAGACAGAAATATAGGTAGAATATATGCAGGTTTTACATAGAAAATCTTCCCATTAAAAGTTTTGATAACTAAGTTAAAATTAAAAATATACCTGATATAAAAGATATAGTCCAAAAATCGCCATCTGTACCTCTATAATATTCATAGAGACCAATTTAATGAGCTCACACCTTCAAACCCGATAATTCTGCTGTAGGTAGATGAGGAGTTAGGCAATCTCCTAGTTGCAGCGTCAATACAATGTAAGTTACCATATTATTGTAATTATTTCAAATTATCATAGTATACCAATATCAAGTTGGTCGATCAAGTGGAAGTAAAATAAATATTCATTTTATGACTGAGATCCCTAGAGTAACTTGGAAAACAGCTGACAATCTTTAAACAACTGAACTGGGGTCATGAAACATAGTTAGAACCATTTCATTTAAATTAGTCTTGAAATTAAAAAGAAAACTGCTATGAGATCAGGCAATTTAGGAGCTACAATTCTACAAACAATACACAGACAAAAGGTTCAAACTTAAATCCACTTGTTTTACATTGGGGGTTAAAACACATTTTGTCACCTTTACTCTTAATATTGTAATTACTAGCGGATATTTTTTTTTTCTTAGGAAGTAATGATTGAAACTACAGTAAGCAAGCCACACGTCACTTTTCCTAAATTTGTAGATAAAAAAATTATATGTATATTTCTCCATACAAAAAAAAAATATGTTTTATTTCCGAAACACTAGAACGAAAGGTGTTCAGAATGTCATCATAATGTCAGCAGTTTGTTTTATTCATACGGAGAAATATAAACTGTATTTTTTATCTTTCAAGATGTAGGAAAAGTGATGTGTGTGTCTTGCTTACAGTATAGTTCCAATGAATTTCTACCAAAATATCCATCTGCAGGTTCATGTGGCTTTATAAGTTCTTATAGGCAAAATTTCGGTATGTTTTATGTATCTATTGAAATAAAAAACATTTGTTTCTACTGAACTAACAAGTAATAGTTGTTACACTGTCTAAATTACTCAAATTTAAATTGTTTGATTATAAATTTGCTTATTTCGTAAAAAAAAAATATAAAAATAACAGAAATTTTGCTGCCTCTTTACTCGCATTATTTTTCCTTTTGATGACTAAAACATTTATCTTGTATTATTGTATGCCTTTGATTTCAATACCGCGTAACGTACGTTTTAGTTTCGTTTTCGGTGAGTTCGTGCCCAAATCAAATCCGCGTAAGGCTCATCTCACATTGGCGAAGCGTCGCGTTGCGTCCTGTTTTTTAACTACAACGCCTGGCGACGCGCGACGACGACGCTCGCATTAGGCTCAACTCACACTGGCGCAAAATCTGGCGCGACGCGACGCTTCGACTCTGCGCCAGTGTAAGTTGAGCCAAAGTGTCGTGGCCACCAAATTAGCATGACTTACGGGAATCTATTGTTAGCAGTCTTTAAAAGACATAAATGAATACCTACTGTGCAGAAATCAAAGTCGCAGCCATTGAAATAACAAAATAATTACGTTAAAACACTCTCCTGTAAAATTTGGTTTTGCACTTTCCTATTCTATTGATCTTTCGACGTTGTCAGCAAATTTATTAGTAAATATATGAAGATTTTTGTGAAATGATGATTTAGTTACTCAATGGTTTAGACATCCAATCGCACCACAATGACTTTCTGTACCATTTTGGTGTGATTGAGTAACAAACAGGTTAGGTATTTGGTGAATGGTTGAATACCAGAAGAAAATATATACTTGGTACTTGGTGTAACGGGCTGGTGTCCGCAACTCGACGTCAAGGCGCAAGAAAATATATAATTTACACAATGCCCTCTTCTGTTTCGGTGTTTAGAGACAATAAAATATTTTACTTTTAATTTTTCATAGGCAATGAACGGAAAATAACAGCAATTAATACACTTGTAGAAAATTATCCTTGTTATGTCTGTAAAATTGACTTTCTTTTTAGTACACAATGTGCTCTAAGTGCACAACTGCCTGTAGACGCGATGCAATTGCGCTTCTAAAAGTCTACGTGTGTAACTGCTCTAAGGGTGCTGGTGAAATTACGGGCACATGGGACTTGTCAACTTATGTCTCAAGGTGACTGGTGCAGTGGCAGTGCCCTTCAGATCATTGTAATTTAAAGAACTGAGTGGTACTGAAACTGTTATGGACAGGCATGTCACTTGCTGCGAGGTGGGCGACTAGTTCGTCCCGTCACTTGATCTCATAAAAAAAAATCGCCTGCCTCTACTGTTCTAGGGATTTATGTTAAGAAGAATGGTAACTTTTTTATGAAAAATAGTGACAGACATAATATAACTTACTGGAAATAATAATATCAGTATAGACTACTAAAACAACCTACAAAGTCAAAAGTCATTCATCCCCTAGTTTGCCACCCTTAGACGTGAAATATTTTCTTCAAATTTAAATGATACCACTAATGAGGTACCTTCTTTCCAAGAAAAAAAGAATCATTAAAATCGGTTTACAAATGACGGAATTATCACGTAACATACATAAAACAAAAAAACATATAGTCGAATTGAGAACCTCCTCCTCTTTTTGAAGTCGGTTAAAAATAGACTAACTGATTCTGGCAGTCGTTTTCACAAACTCACATATTCATTTAAGGGACAATGTATACGCTTCTACGTATATTAAGATTTCGGTTGATATTTAAAACTTGTCATTCACGAGGTTTATAACTACAGTCAAATAAAAACTTTACACGTAAGGTTATTATAGAGTTCCTGCGTACTTGGATGGCATAAATTCGTGCTAGTGCTCCTTTAGCTCTTGCAGGTTTTCTCTTTCTAAATGATAAATGTGTACAAATGTTTATTTACAAAGAGCAACTCGTATAGTTACTAGGTCATTCTTCTCAGGGACTCTGCATTACGAAAGGCGATTTCAAGTGTAATATGCATATAGAATATAGTGTAATATGAAATATAGATAATTTGAGTCACTTGCCTGGATTGTACAATTATAAAGAATCTGTCATGGTTCCTTACGCAAAGTTATTTCTGTCTTGATTCGAAAGTTTCAGACATTGTTAACACACTCGTTTGGTTGCAGATCACACTGCAAGACGAAGCGATCAAGAATAAAGTGCGTGTGATTATGGTAAATTTCTCAGGCACCATTGTTCCCAAAGATAAAGAATTACTCAACAACATCTACTTGGATGTTAAGAATATCAAAGGTAAATGATTAAATATTACTTCCAGTTTTGTAAAGTGTCGTTAAGTGACAAACAATAAAACTGCATAAAATATGTCGTTTTGCCATATCAATATTTTTGAGATAGATTAGTTCCCTCTTCTCACAGCGTCACGAGTACCTACATCGTTGGGCGCACTATAAGTTTCCGGAATGAATAAGAAAAAATATTATAAATGGTCAGAAATGAATTTATTGTTTCGCAAAATATTCTCCGTTAGCGTTAATGCACTTTTTCATACGATTGAACCAATTTTGAAAACATTTATGTCACTCTTGCCATTTATTACAATCTCTGAAACATATTTTTCATACTCTTCGACAGCCTCTTCAGGTGATGAAAATCGTTGACCACGTAATTGATTCTTAATTTTTGGAAATAAATATAAGTCACAAGGTGCCAGGTCGAAACTGTACGCGGGAAGGCTCATAAGTTCAACGTTGTCCACTTTCAAAAATTCATTTGTCTGCCTGGCCTTGTGAGAACTGGCATTCACGTGGTGCAAGATGATACGGCGTTTACGATAATTTTTGCGGAGTCTGTCAATAACTTCCGGCAAACAAATGGTCGTGTACCAATCACTATTCACGGTACAACGAATCTCCAAGACAACAGTGGCCACGTGTCCAGTTTTATTTAAAAAAGAAGCAATCATCCACTTAGAGGCACTTTGCATGCGCGCCACTTTGGTTGGTTTCAGCTCATCTGGAAAGACCCACACGCTCGATTGCTGCTTTGTTTTGGGATCGTAACTATAAATCCATGTTTCGTCACCTGTTACTATGTCCCACATCAACATTTGACCCCCCTTCGTTGAATCTGGTAAGCATGGTATTGCACCAAGTGACGCGATCCGTTTTTTGAGCCTCAGTCGAATTGTGTGGGATCCACCGAGAGCACAGCTTTTTCACACCTAAATGTTTGTATAGTATTGATTGTATTTGACTCAAGCCTATGCCTAAAGTTCTCATGGTACGTCACATGTCTGTCTGTTTTGATCATACGGCACACGGCATCGATGTTTTTGTTGTTCACAGCAGTGTACGGGCGACCTTCACGAAATTCGTCACTGAGATTCACACGACCGCGTTTGAATTCTGCAAACCAGTTGTAAATAGTCGTCTTGCATGGTGCTTCATCGCCAAAAGCAATTTGAACTGAGCGAAGCTCCGCTGAGCTGTTAAATTACACTTAAAGTCGTAGAAAATCATACTACGAAAATTTTCACGATTTAAATCCATGATGATGTAGACAATCAATTTCTAAAATGACGCCACAAACAAATACAAAACAAGTGACAGTCAGATTAAACAAACTGTATTCCACAGCCAAAGAGTTCCATTTTCAAATGTTGTAATAACTTTTGTTTGTGTAAGTGGCCAGTTCCGGAAACTTATGGTGCGCCCTATGCATAATAATCGCTGCAAATTCAAACATCTCTATTTCACTCAAACAAATAAACACCTTGCGTAATTAATTACATATGAAAAAGAGATCTTTGAACTTAAATGAGACTACACCAGACACTCAAGACTACGCTAAATGTGAATTAAATTTCAGCTCTTCAAGGTAAGAAGTCCGTGTACATGATTACCAACGTGCTCATGGCCAAGACCATTGAGTTCCGCGTGACGCGCGGCACGTCTTCAAGGATCTTCCATCTCGGTAACGCTTCGCCTCTCGTCTTCGGTTTGGAAGAGTACCTTATCGGCAACGATGGCAAACTCATTGCTAAGGTAAATATTATGTATTGTATTACTCGTATCTATATTAGTTGTGAAAATAGCATATATCTTCAACTTGGATTTCATAACCTTCATTCAAACTGAAATTGGGGTGATCTTATTTTTTTTTTTACATAAATATGTTGTCAGCTGCAGCAATTACTTACATGTAAAATGCCGTAGCGTGGCGAACGTCCAAACCTAATTGTAACATGTATCGATTGTAACGATCTCTAACCAAATGAAAATAACCAAATTGTAACGATCTCCAACAACGAAAATACCAAGCAGCGCATGATATCATTATTAGTCTTTAAAAGTAATAAAAAAATTTATTATACTAAAAATGGTCACTGCCCACTATAATGCCTGCTCAAAAATAGTCTGTGTGGTAATAGCGAGTGTAGCGAGACCGAACAGTTTCGCTTCTCAACAATAATACTGGAATAGTTTGCGTCTGATAAGCCGAACAAGGATAGCGGTGAAGTTAAATAAGACCCCTTCACAAGTTCCAATTTTGCAGAGATTTCTGTCTTGGCTGCACTAGGCAGCAGGCCCTAGTGACACCTATACGTTAGTTCTTATATAAAAATTATCGTGTGTGATGGTAATGAATGGTAATTGCTTGTAAGTCATAATATAACAAAGGAGAATGGTATATTCCCTGTCAATGTTTGTTGAAATCTTAAAATAAATATTTCAAGTTCAAGGACAAACCTTTCTGTTTTTTAATCTTTACGGTTTTCCTTACTACTGTGTAGTATGTCGTTTCCATTCAATGCAAATTCGTCATGTGTCGTTTCCTTATTATATGCAATTATTCATTATCGAATGATAAAAGATTGTCTATACTAGTGAGACATAACAATAGCACCAGTACCTACAGTCAAGAGTGCATTCATCTTCATACTTTCAGCTACCATCCTTATCACAAGAGGCGTAGAGTAGCATTTGAGGTGTATAGCTGAGCGTGCCGTTTACTGTACACTACAAGCTTGAAAGGATTTAAGACAGTTTTGAAAGATTTAAGGCATTGTTTTTGTAACCAGAAGAGAGTGGAACGTGTCTTCGCAGCTCGCTTCTAATCGTATTAGTCACATCACGTTTTAGCGCTTTGTTCGTGTCCATGGCTATACACAGCGTCACATTGCGCAACAATGCGTTAAAATTCTTTACTCAAAGGCTGAGATAAAGCGGATAATTTTTTACTTCTTTTCTGATAAATTTCCATTGATCCCTTTTGAAGAAAATTTGAAAACGCTTATTATGTAACTATAATTTTATTGTATTAAGGATATCTCTCAATTCGTGTAGTTAAATAACTACTATTATATACTATTAGCTAAATACTAATATGATAAACAATCCATGTTCTAACTTACTTTATTGTAAATAGAATGGAATCTGCGCTTGGAAAGATTTTGCTATAACAAGATTAACTATATTATATTTATAGTACATATTAAGTATCATGCACTCGTTAATACTTTAGTATTCAGGAGTATTCTTAAGTAATATGACAAAATGACCTGATGCAAATTTTAATTTGTTTTTCCTTACTTTTCATTACAATCAAAAAGATACGGACCGGTATCCAAATTGTAAACAATAACCAATTGACTGATAATTTAGTATAAAGTTTTGTTTAGTACTAAATTCGATTGCAACACGTCACTAATTAATTGTATTTATTTGAGATTATATTGGCATTATCGTATAAGTCAGATTTGCTTTCTGGCAAGGTTCCCATACATACACTAAATTCTTCAGTCGGTATAATAAATATTTCTAGTAATTCGTCGATGACGTGACTTATGTATGTGTCACGTCTTAAGTCTTGTGATAGTGATAGTCGGTCTCGGTGGCGCAACTACTAGTGCTGGATAAGGATGTCCGGTTTCGATTCCCAACCAAGCTAATGCTCCGAAGTAATTCCGTTACTCTGGTATTTAGTATCATGTAATTGTTGTGATTTTCTAAAACATTATTATTATTAAGTTCGCTAGCTGTAATGCAATATAATATTCTATTATACGGACTTTGCCTAAGCCCACAAAGCGGGTTGGGCAGTTGACGCACATTGTCATTAATTAAACATTTCTTACTAAATAAAAGTACATGTCAAATGTTTAATACAAAATGAGGTGAGCTCGGTATTTATAGCAGAATAAAACAATTGAAGACCAGCAGCTTATTGAATATTGCGTTTTGATTTTGTATTATCTGTTTTGATATTGAATTATATCTATTGACCTTGGTTATTATCTTTTTATAACAAGAATCAACTTATACATCTTTATGTTTATGATTTTCACTACCGCTGTATCCTGTTTACCATAATATTATAAATTTTAAAGCGTGTGTATTTGGGTGTGGCAGAAGGAGCTGCCAAACGCCAAATTACTGTATTTTGTATTACACTACACTTTTTGGTCAATGCAGCGAGAAGTTTGTATGGTCTGTATGGCTAAATACTGTCTATAGATTAGAAATACGGACGGGGGTGTGTATCAAACAATAACATTGGCATAATGCCATACGCGCATTAATTAGTTCAAAGCTTGGCTGACTCGTTCGATCGAAACCTAAAATAGCGATCATTATGGCAACGTTCGAAGAATCGAAGCGATACGCGGAACTGTATCCACGGTGCGATTTCTTTCGTGTTAGACTTCTTTCTTCGAAAGCTATCGTTTCTTTGAATTCATAATTAACAGTAGTAGGGAAAATCGTCCTTATTGCTTCAGGGCGTTGAGCACAATGTTTGTAACAGACAAACAAAGATACTGTACGAGTATAATATTTTATATTAACATCAAAATATTTCCCAATACTGCTTTCCATACATTACAATAAACCACCACACTCGGCGAGGTTTCACGTCTGAAAGCACCTTCGGTTCGACGTTTCGGTATGCCTAAAATATATTGTTTTAAATAAAATGTCGTCTATCAGGTAAACATTATGTGACTTTCATTGTGTAAATCCACATTCAGTAGGTACATCTGCTGATCCAATTTTAACTCCATCCAATTTGCGTTAAACGGTCAAAAATGTTTCCCAATACTGCTTTCCATACATTTCAATAGACCACCACCCTCGCCGAAGGTTTTACGTCTGAAAGTACCTTCGGTCCGACGTTGCGATATGCCTAAAATATATTGTTTTAAATAAAATATCGTCTATTACACATTAAAAGCATTATGTGAGTTTCACTACAGTCAATCCATCTGCTGATCTGATTTTAACTCCATCCCATTTGCATTAAACGGTCGAAAATGTTAAGCCCAGGGTGGTGTTCATTGTACCTATCAATGTCATTTATACATATATGAGTATCCCATTTTTATTATTAAGGAATAAATATAAACATACTGTCATGCATTGGGCAGATTTAAATTAACTTAATCAGTATTTCAAATTCGCCTATGTGAAACCTAATTTATGATTTACCCACCAAAATAATTTGTTTTTTTAAAACTCTTTATATTCAACTTCGTGTATTGGTCATAAGGTCTTTTAGAGTTGTGAATGTCATTATTAATAAATATTTCAAATATATTTCATTTCATATTTCAATTCAAAGCTTTGTAAGATCTCCTCTGAATCGAAAATCACCGGTCGAATTTCAAGTAATAAACGCGTGACTTCATAATCTTGACGTTTGGCGGAACCATCAATTGGGTCGATGCAGCTCCAACACTATAAAAAAAGAAGAGGAAGCTGCACAAACTTGTCTTTACTTTGTCTCTTCACATTGATATAATTATGATAAGCATGCTCCATCTTCGATCACATGTACCGAGCATAAGCGACGAACTTACAGTCAGGTATAAAAAATAAATTGAAGAAAATAAAATGTATTGCTTTTTGTTTATTATTATGTATCGGATTTTAGTGAAATCCCTGGGTCCCAACTTCGGACTGGTATCGATCGAAAGCACTTCGGAGTGAGAACCGCCCAATACGAAGCTAAAACATATATCGATGTGACATGTTACTTCGTGGTAGATGTCCTGGTTCTGTTATCGCAAACGATATCGAAGATTTAAAGACTGATATAATTTAAAGTCGTAGACCAAAACTACATGTTGTTTGATAGCCGTACTTGTACTTAGGTGTGCTATTAATATAATTTAATTACTCGTATTATTCTTTACAGGAACCAGTAAGCATCAGGTCTAAAACATTGATGTGGCAGAAGGTTGATCCTTCAGATCATCTCTACGTTCCTGAGCCTAAGGAAGGTGCTTGCAAAGTTTAGATTGAAATTATTGTTTGCTGTAGCACGCTTGTGTGGTCCATTCTACTTAAACTTATCATCTTATTTAGCTCTTATAAATCTTTGTGCACTTTGCAATTTTTAACACGTTTATATATATTGTATCCATAGAACTCAATGTGTATAATATATGGATAGCAATAGCATCAACAAGACATAAATATAACTAAAAAAAATATAGCTAAGTAAAGTAGCTCTTAAATACTATATCCACCACACTACCAGTGGTTTGCTTAGTGGTACGATGGGTCCCGCGAGCATTAGTTAACCACCTTGTGACTAGTACATACATAGGTATAGTAACTTATTATATATTTATATATGAATGAGTAGATTTGGAATTTATTATCCTCCCTAACCTCAGCAAAAAAGCAGAAACCATAACAGCCAACAAAAACATTTTGGATAAAAAACTCTTAATGCAATGTTATTTCCGTAGCGAGTACTAGAAGTCCAAATGGCGTTTTGTAAAACTTTTTTGTAGTAGCGTGTGTGCCGACTACCGATAGGTAGTGCTTAAAATACTTTGCACGTTTGCAATGATTAGCCCGTGGCATAGCCATGACTAACTTAAACTTAAGTTCTTAGACTGTTTCTCTCAAGGGAGATAAAAATGTTTGTATTATATGGTATTATTAAACGGTTTCTTTGTATTAGTATTTAAACATCACGTATTTTAAATGGTATTATTTACTTGTAGCGTATCTATTTATAAAACTTTAGTAACGTCCTAGTTAAAGTACGTTTAGTAGCAGTAGATCTTCTTGTGAAAGAGTTCGTCCAGGGAAGTACTGCCACCTTACCTGTTTCTGTCGCCAAGTAGTAATGTGGGCATTACTGCGTTCCGGTTTTTAAGGGTAAGGGTGCTGGTGAAATTACAGGCCCATGGGACTTTTCAACTTATGTCTCATGGACAGGCGTGTCGTTTACCATCAGGCACACGTCCCATCACTTAGTATCATAAAAAAAAACGTGTCAAGTAATTTTAGGTTGAAAAGGTTCATTAAGATTGAATGCGAATTTAACCATTCTTTATACCCAGCACCATATATGACCTGTACTATCGGAAAATTTTGTGTGGCAACTATCAAAGAGCAATTACGTCATCAAGTTGCGCAAATGGAGCGAAGTAATGCGCGTTCGGCTACGTGTAATTTTGAGTGACCATTTACTTTCAGTATAAATTTCTTGTAAATTTATTTTAAATATTTACAAGAAATTCAAAGATTTTCTTGATGGCGATTCTGCCTAAGCAAATCGTACTCAAAAGAGTGCCTATTAAATATAGCTTATATGAACATTACAGAATTGAGCACTTTACCATCAGTTAGTTTAAACTATGCAAATAACAAATATGCACTTACCTTCCACTATATCACATTCCAGCCACAAATCGCAAAAGCCTTACTGTAAATTAGTCTTAAAATATATAATGGGTAAGCAGACCGCTTACTCTGTGATTCCTATTCTCCCAAAGTATTGTATTATTTACGTATTTTGTATACACAAATGTGGTGATTTTTATTGTGATTTTTTTATTGTTATCCCCCGACTATAAACATGTGATAATACAGACATCTGTGACATTTTCAAATATTGCAAATAAATTGTGTGTTAATTTAATATGTTTTTTTAATCATAAATCTTCCTCTCCAAATTCCTAATACCAATTTTCCCAGCCAGTTGAGTTAGCTATTTGATGCAGAAAGGAAATAAAATTAAAAGGTGTAATACAAATAATTATGTCATTTATTGAAGTAAAAGTACATATAAGTTTGGAATGACATACATAATATGCTTACAACGATGTATTGCTATCTAATATCTAATCACAAAGTAGATATCATAAATAATGTTTTAGTATATCGGCCTTACACACAAAACGACATAAAATGTTTATTATGTTAGTATAGTCGATTAAATTTCCTGTCATGTGTTTATGATTTTAAAATATACCTAAATATTAAACGTGGTTTTAAGATATGGATTTGAAGTCCTATATGCTTGTTTTCGTACTTGTCTACTCAATATTCGTGTTGTTACAAAATTCCGCCAGTGGATGAGAAGGGTCATACTATATAACTCATAATCAAATTCATCATTTAGAGACCGTCGTCTTCAACCAGTGACGAACTGTCTGTAAAGTCATCCTCTTCGTCGTAGACTACAAATTTGTCCATGGTCACGTTGCCCCTCCTCAAGTCTTTAAGGAATGCTTTCACAGTTTTCTTTATATCCCAATCATTGCTTTCTAGAAGGCTGTAATAAACGGACAATAAACTGTACTAAAGTTTGTAAAATCAATGGAAAATTATTAATTTCATTGTAATGATAGTTTTGCTAATGAAGTCGGGTAAAAAGGTTCTGTGCATCCCCATATATTTGACTTGTAACTATTAATATCCCTAGGTATCGAATAGGTATCGAAGTGTAAATTTTAGATTAATTACCAATATATGGAAGCATAAGGGAGTCACCACATTTCCCCACGCAGCGATCTTGGTTTACCATAGCCTATTCAGTTAACGCAGCCGTTTGGATCAGCCGATATAAGCTGCGTACGGATCTACGATCGGAAATTCGTAGGATGCAGAATCGTTGTCGATCTGTGTGGAGTTGCGAGGTCTCCGCGTCCTACGAAGTGATGCGAAACGCACAACTTTTTCTGACTGGCGATTCTATGTCTATAAGTATGGCGATCCCATAAACAAATTGTGTTAAATACTAGAGATGCCACGAATAGTGGTTTGGCCGAATACCGAATATTCGGCCACGCTAACGGCCAAAGCGCCAAATATTCGGCGTAAGATCTGTGCATTTCACGCGCGACCTGTTACGACCTATCTCATTGCGCTGCGTACGGGGTAAAGGGCGTGGGGGTGTTTTTCTTGAAAAATGATTAAACGATAAAATCAATACATGACAGTCTGGACTTGTTTTGAAGAAGTCCTTACAGATAATATGCAAAATGATGAGGATGTGGAGAAAAGTTCTATTGCACATGAGATTGATTTTATTTGAAAACTGTTAGCCTAGATCGGACGGCAGATCCTTACATGTAATGCACAACAAAACAATAATTATGTAAAACAATATCAATATCAAATTATTTTTTTTATTTGTTTGTATCACCTACAAATAATAACTTACAGTTCTGCTTCAGTTTTCTTGAGCCGAGTGAAGTGACATAATATATTGCAAAGAGCGTTGGAATCCTCTGGGTCCGGATTATTAAGTGCTAACGGGTTCGTCACTTTTCCATTCTGTAAGTAGAATATTGTACAATCCACATGACCACTAAATAGAGGGCAACAAGTCATTGTCTACCGAACGTGCGAGGACAAGTGTAGGTTTTTATACAGTGTCTTGCTTCACCATTATTAAGATATAAACGTATATAAGTGCTTTAGCACGTAAATAAAAAAAGTGCTCAATTTATTAATACATAATTATATTCTTTTGTGTTGTTTATAATTTTGGAAGATGTGAGGAGAATGATAAATTTAAAAAAGACGCCACTAGAATTTAAGTTACAAATTAATGAAGTAATGAATGAATATGACTTATGTACTTTAATCCGCCGACCCTAGAATCAATTAGTTATTTAAATAATATGCATATCACCTTGAAGTATTTCTCGACCACATCGTTAGGAGCAAAACCAATATTGAGCATTTCATTAGTAATAAAATATTCTGTCGTAGTGTTACTTTTCGCATTTGCGCGAAATATCCATGTTCTTCTAAATCTAAAGTATCTTTCGGGGACAATGCTATCTCGGCTCGGTTCCTTATAAACTCCATCGACTATTAGTACTAAGCTTTTTTTCTGCAAAAAAATAATACACTCGTATGGATACTACTTACGAACCTTTTTTTTATGTCAATGAAAAGGCAACTTACATCATTTTTCAAAACGTCTACAGTGAAACTGGTAGGATCATGCACGGTTTCCGGGAACTGTGAAAGTACTCCACATATAGCTTTTTTGCTCGTGTACATTTTGTGGTTGGACACGACAAATAACCTCTTCTTAGGGTCCAGCACGTTTCTGGAATGTTTTGCGCTATGCTGCATTGTTTTTTCTTCTGTCGCTGAAAATATTCCATAACAAGATCTATAATTGGGCCGATTCCTTTCGCTTTCATTCATAAATCTTTCAGGTCGCAACTTTTTGTTAAACAGAATTATTGGATGACCGGTCGTCGCAGTAAAAGCAATCATGCTGCCATGTCGCACTTCATCTGCGTAAAATACGTACTTCAGTAGGTAGCCTACTTGATTTAATCATTGGTTCTCCATACAAATTTCCATCTCCTATTTCACCCCTTTTGAGTTTATTTTTATGACAAAACTAACCTTTCCCTTTCCTAAGTTCCATCTACCTCTATACCAAAATACATAAAATTTTTGGTTCAGCTGTTTAAGCGTGGAAACATAAAACAGACTTTCGCATTTATTATATTATTTTGGATTACGTAGTTAAGAAATTTTATTCTTCAATTTACCGAGTTGGAAAATTAGCTCACCTACTAGAGTAGGCATAGAAAGAAAATTGTCTCGCTTGGTAGCATTTGGTATGTGTCTCCAACATCGGCTTATCTTATTCAAATAATATACACCGTTCACTACTAGGACTTACTCCATTATATTCACAGTGTAAAATAAACTCTTACAAGACTGAAATAGACGAGTACGTAAAAGAGCACTTATGTAGTCTGCGACTACAAACTTCAGTAGAAGATAGACATAAATCACATAACGTCCGTCGCCTTACTTTCTCAAACTCGTATTTTAAAGCACAAAGTTACTGAAATGCAAAAAATGAATTGTGTCTACAAATGTTGCTGGCTGACTTCACACATTTACTTCATATTCACACACTGACTTTTAACCTGTTCTTAAAGTAACGCATCCAAATTAACCCCCTTGATAAGAAATTTAAAATAAACAAAAAGTTTTGCCATCTCCTGAATAATCACTCTTTATAAGACACTAGTTTGAGAAAGTAAGGAGACGATAAGTAAAAGTATGGACCATTAATTCGAGGACAGTTAATCGCGATACAAAACAGTGTAGTCGGGTATTTAGTACCTATTGAAATACCAGCAGTCGCGACTGACAAGTACCAGATAACTATTTTTGCAACTATTGTTTTATGTTGACGTGCTGCAATTTGTCAAAGCTACTCTAATTTCTAGTGATAACAAAGAAATAAACTGATACTAATACTACTAATACATTTATTTCACAAAATTTTATGGATACTGCTAGCATGCTGCCCGGTATTTGTTTTGTTTAGGATTAGCGCCATCTACCTATATTAGCAAGCGTTAATTTATAAATTAATTCGTAATTTACTCGATGTTTGTAACATACAATGCCAACTATTTGTCAAAGTTCAGAAAACAATTTCAGCTTATGGTCAATATTTGAATAATAGATAAAACGAGGAAAAAACTGACTACATGTATTCCTAAAGAGGAATTCATTAATACCTATGGCCAGCTATCGATTAGGACCATCTACATATAAGACGGGATTTTGACCTTTTTCAGAGTTACGATCTGTGCTATGGTGATTAGCACTCCTCTTGAGATATTGGCGCATGGTAAAAGCAAAACTTTTCTTACATTTCTTCAGGGAAAACATTCGTACTAGTATGTTTACCTCATTTCTTACCTGTGAAGTTAGTGCTAATGGTAAGTTTAGCATTTGGATCATAAAAATCCTCGATCGATAAGCGGGGACTTGCGTCGTAATGAGCGAAATATAGAGATAGAAACTTCTCAACCAACATTTTCGTCCCTTTGTCTTGTGAGTCTAAATAATTCCTATAGAACGGTATCACCACACCATGCTCATTGAAGCGTACTCCATCCTGAAAAATAAATCTGTCTGTGTTAACGCTTCACAAAACCAAAGAATAGGTAATTATTTATTTTTCTTGGTCCGAATAGCAAGCACGCAATTATGTAGAAAAAATGATGAAACTCAATAGGATTTTTTTTTGCGGACCTAATGGCGTATATTTGTTTGTTTTGGCCATATACAGGTTTCATGGTCAGTAATGGGAATTATGAGACTCTTAAAAAATGTACAAACGTAGTAACAACTTATGCAGTCTTCATTATGATGTTTTTATTTCTATAAAAGATTCATGCTCCCTCTCATCTAGCATAAGGGTCAAATGCAAAGTAAAATAGACTTTATTTGTGAATTTTTTTGTTCATTAAATTCAAAATGCACAATCAATTATTTTCAGGCAAATCACTGTCAATACACATAAAGAAATTAAAATATTTTCATCAAATATTCTATTTAGTTTTTAACACTGAATGCTCTTGCATCATTTTGACCATATACATATATCTCCCATAGCTCAGTCAGATTTCTTTCAAAACCTTCTAAATAGATTATGATTATACTAAATTTTGTAAAAAAGATAGTAAATAGACAATTTACGCTTACCAATTGTATTAATCTGGGAAATTTCATAGTGATTTGTTTGACATATGTAACAGGGTCTAAGTTCTCACATAAGGGGTTGCCTTCCACCCATAACTTTTCTATTTTGCTACTAACCCTGTGTAGTTCTTGCAGTGATGGTATCTGGGTAGCATAACATATTAGATTATTACATAGTAGACAAATAGTACAACAAACATCTGTGTAAGTTATTATCAGATAAAAAAATAATTTATTGGAGTACAAACTTTCTGCAAGTATTCTCAAACATGCATTTTTTAGGAGATGATGTAATTATGCCTGAAATCACTCACATTGTTATTACTTAAATTAACTGATGTTAAATCGCCCTTTATAAAGAAATTCAGTATTTCTGCAGGTATTTGGCTAAAACAAAATGATAATATTATAAAATGAAAAGATTTAGAAAAAAGTTTATTTACCAAGTTGATTTAGCCGAGAATAGAGCCTGGACTCTCCAAATGTAGCACACAAAATACAAAATATAAATATATTCTGTAGCCTGTTAGCTGTCTGCAAGCTAACTCATGTATAGTTTATGTACCTATAGATATTTATAAATATCAATAATGAAATATTTAAAATATTTGGCAATTGATTAATTCACGAATTGTCGTCATGGCTATACAACTTTTTTGAATAAATTTTATTCCATTTTATTGTTGGTAGTACAAAGAATTGGCAATATTATTTACATCAAAAACATAACTATTAATTTTATTGTCATGGTATTATAGACATACCTTAAATTGTTATTACTCAAATTGAGTGCCCTAGTATCTCTCCCAATTCTCAGCATCAATATTTTGAAGTTAGCTAAAAGAGTGATTTTGTAAAAGTCTATCTTTTTTTGCCGGAATTCTGAAAAAGAAAACACCAAGTATTTTAGTATGACGGTATATCTAGACTGGTACTTGGGTACAAATAAATTATATCAGTCATCAATAGAATAGGATGTTTTAGTTTTATAGTAAGGCGTTTGTATAGATACAGGGACTTATAGAAATATTGTGCGAGACTTTAATGTGTCATGTTATAATTTTTCTTCAACTCAAAAATATACCTTAGTACAAATCAGTACTTTATGAAATACAAAATTACTAGGTGTTGAGAATATAAAAAAGAAATCTTTATAACTTTGTGATGGGCTAACACTGTAATTTAATATCGACAAAGATTCTTAGTCGCACATATCTCATTTATAGCCAACAAAAGGTGCAAATTCTAATGAAATTTCATTTGAAAATTCAAGACACCAATGACATTTCATTCATTTTCACAACATTCTGTTACACATATGTACATTGTATGTACATATAGCAATGTATATTGCGCTACTATTTCAATCAACTTTAGTCGGATGCCGATAATGTGTCAAGCAACATGAGCATAGTATTGTGAAACATAATTTTTTTCTTGTTTTTGACAATTTATTCTAAAATTTATAATAAACGTTGAAATTAAATTATGAATAAAACCAGACGAGAAACAAACAGAAAAACACCTACCTGAGTCGTTACAAAAATTCGACAGATCCAGTTCAAGCCTTTCGTTTAGTCTGCTGCTGACGATACTACTCACTAAATCAGCAATTGAAATTCTGTTTTCAAATAAATCTGCTGAAGTTTTATCATTGAACAAAATATCAACAGTAAACATGTTCCGCTGATGTGGGAACATAAAATCCAATTTTGCTATTTTCAAAATCAACGTAAGAGAGCTCGTATAAAATGTTGCTATTCCTCCCTGCGAAGTAAAGTTCACAGGGATGAACGAAACACAAAAGTATTCCACTATAGTGCCGAATAATTCGATATTGCTTCCAGTCCAGTTATGTATCTAGAATAAAATTTTTTTTTAAATGTCAACGAACGATGGGTGTATTTCATATAGAAACTATGAACGCATTTTTTTCTTTATTTTAACTTACAATAATTTTATGAAAACTATGGTTGGCTGCTTCGTCGTCACTAGCCACACAATTTTCAATGTATTCGATAATGTGCGATGAAGATGTTACTCTGTTTAATAAATGTTTTCTATAGCTTTCCAGCTGATACCTTTTCGCGCACATTATTAGCGATTTTTTCAAAATTTATTACAAAGTTACTCTAAAATTCTGTCAGAAACCAAATTTATTTATTCAATTTTATTTGTACTGTTTTTTCCATTGGAAAAGGCAAAGGCACTAATGCGCCATACAGCCAAGACTGAGAGTAATTTCTTTCTTGGATTCCATTACAAAATGTCTTCGATAGTGCTTCTTATGAAATAATATAAAGTTGGATAGCATTCTTGATTTTTTAGTAGATGTGGTAAAGAAAGCGGGGTTTTTTTCTTTCTTTTCTGAAGATGGGTAATATGTCTATAGTAAATGCATCATCGATAAAACCACACGTAGGACTCAATGCTCAACTCTACTCAATGCTCAAGTCAGGACTTGAGTATGATTTAAAGGACTAGAAATCATACTTAAGTCCTTGCCTTTAGGGTCGTATTTCCAGTGCTTAAAATCATACTCAAATCCTGACTTGAGCATTGCGTAGAGTTCTGAGTTTCCTTCTAGGAAAACTAAACTAACGGTATTACAAAACAAAAAACTTTAATGCATACAAAAGTACTAATTTAATATTCATTAATATTAGCTAGTGCACAACATACCGAAAAACAGGTTAAACTTACAAAATTACCATGTAATGGACACTACCCCACTTGACTCATTGATCGATCGCTTGACTTTTTGGTTCTATCGAACGGATGCTATATCGAACAAATGTTCGACTCAAATGAAGAGTGAGAAGGCGAACCGTGTCGTCAATGGGGACTTCACGTGAGAGTGAACGAGACAACAATAGTATTGTTAATTGTTGAATAATTCACTAAAATTATAAAGATAAAGTCGAAAAGTGCGCGCATGACCCATGAAACTCTAAAATCATCGGGTTATTACACAGCATGCATCTAGACAGACGCCGCAAGTACAGCAATTTGTATAAAAATCAAGCGTGCCACATTTTTTGTACCCACTACGACGTCACAAGAACAATTTAATGATGGTAATCTCCCTTCCCTCGCCTAAATCGATTGATTGAACGGAATATGCATAATTTGATTCCATTCAATTAATCGATTCTAAATGGAATAATTTTTGTTCAAGTATTTGTTGATTACAAGTAGTCGTCATATAAATATAGTAAAAAATACTAGAATAAGATAGTTAAGTCCTTTATTTAAAAAAAAATTAAGACTTTAATTTTTTATTATATTTAAATTATTG